TATATATATGTATACATATGTGTATACACATGCACACGTGTGTACGTGTATGTATATGTAGAGACCTGTTTATGTCATAATTATGTTTATGTTTATGCACTCATCACATGTCTGCATCGTGTTCCATGGAGTCCGTCATGTATATCGTACTACAGTACAGATGCTGCTGCAGGCTGAGAATGCAAGGCTTTCCAACTGACGACACACGACCTTTTGGTTTGAGTTTATGATTCACCAGGTTTTTGGGCCTAAGTGTTGTGTTGTGAGCTTGTTGAAGTTCAGGCTTCACTGTCAATATCTCCAACACCCTGGAGACCCGATAGTCCGCAATCTATGAAGTCGAAATGCAACAATGCCCCATGGTGCACAACTTAGCTGGGCCCCCGGAGACCTCCGGAGCCGATACCCTGCCTGCATAACTCGCTCAAGCCGAAGCCGCTACTTCCGGGACATCCACAAAGCGAGGGCTTTCGGATGTTGCGTCAAAAGGAGTGGCACATGTTCAGGGCAGAAGAATCCGAGAGCAGCATGACGTCAACGATGTTGCGCAGGTGTAGAATAGAGGACGGATTGCGAATCCTCTCGACCGAAACCCGCGAGCTTGAATGGGTACTCACAAGACGCTTCGGGACGCTGTTCTGTTGATTCCGCGGATTGTGCCATCGTTCCTTAAGTATTCTCCGAAATCGGTATGCTCCGACACTTGCTTGAAGGTATCCGACCAGTGCTTGAAGGTATCAAGTGGTATGGTGTGCCCAAAACGGTTCGCTTCTTTTGGGCAGTGTGGGTAGGCAACTGCTTCCGGCTTCTGCTTCTGGCCTGCTCTCTCCCGCGGCGACGCGGAAGCATGTTTCTTTTCGCAGAAAATCTGACTTCGGGCCTGGCAGGTCCATCTACAGCATGTTTGAAATAACCCTGGCGAACTGGCCTCCGGCCTCCAGACTACTGGCGGAAAACGTCTCCGAGTGGTTCATGCTGTTCGGAGTTCTCCACAAGCTGACCATTGGCTTTGCAGTGGTGAGCGTTGTTGCTTGGAACCAGAGTCTACCAAGTTTTCTTGCTTAGCCTAGCTCCGTTTTGAGGATGTTGTGCCTCCTGCATTCATGTCCAGCTCCGCGAAAGAAGCCTCCGGCACCTCCTGCCTCCAAGGTGAACGGTGTCTTCATGCAGGAGACATTCAATGTCGCGGCTTCGGATGACCGAGTCATGATTCAGAAGCGCAAACGCAACTTTCAAATGCATCGCCTCAAGATGGAGCGATTTTTCCACCTGGCAGACAAGTCCAGTGATGGCGCCATTGACATAGTGCCTTGGTATTGAGACAGAGCCTTTTGTCAAACCGCAACACCTTACGATCTGTGATGCAGCTTCGGGACGGTGATGGTCTTGCAATTGAGACTTTCTTGTGCTTCGTGTTGCAGGCTGCAGTCGCGGCCCACGTCCGTACAGTTAGGCTAGCGCCATCCACAGTGCATCGCAACAAACACTCTGCTGGGTATCACAGCTCGCAGACTTGTGATGGCACTGAATCATACAGAATCTCGGCCCACCGCAAAATCGCAAACAAGTGGCTCTGAGATGCCTCTGCTGGCTCTTGCACACGACGGCCACAAAGCTTACCCAGAAGTGCGAAGTGGAGGCCGGCTCACAACTCGCGAAGCCCCGATCGTATCATCAAACTTCGGTTCTCCACTGCATCGCTCTGCTCCACAGCGGCGCCTCTCCCACAGTTTTCTGTTCACAGGTCCCCAAACACAGACACCGAAGCCACAAAGCTTGCTTCGGCTTTGCTGCAGGAAGCACTTCGCTAAATGTGTCGTGCAGGGCTCTGTCCTGTTTTTATTCCAAGGACACTTGAAGAGTTGTAGACGTCGCATGCAACCGGCGATTCCGAGGATGAGTTCAGGGAAATGACCGAGCACAAGGAAGTCTCCGCTTGGTTGCAGGCAATGGAATTAGATGTCTCCGATCCGGACAAGCTTTTTTTGTTGATCGACAGCTCAAGACGCGGCTGGAATGCATGAATGGGGGACTTTCCATTCAAAATATATATATCAAATCTTGCAGACTACCACAGCTCTCGTCATCTCAGGAGACGGCAGGATAACCCTGGAAGAGCTGATACGCGGAGTCGGCAGGCTCAAGGGCTCAGCCAAGAGCTTGGATGTAGCCACCAGGTTGCAGCAAGCCTCAAATTGGTGGTCCCTGCAGGCAAGCTTTGCTCGCAAACCTAGGCTTGCATGCTGGAAGAAGTCGCCAAACTGCATGATCTCATCGTTTCTCAAGGAGCGGAGCCGGGTCGATGGCAAAATCCAGATCGTCAAAGCCTGTAACAGTTTCTACCGTTTCTTGCCAGGCTTTCGGCCAATGCCCGTGGCACAGAGCTCACCGGCGGACTTTTTGGCCAAGGCCGGTTTCTGCAACTCTGGCAAGATTTGGCGGGCGGACAGCGAGTGCCATCAGGCCAGATCGAAGACGACGCGTCTGCGTGATGCTCTTGGTGCCAAGAGCACCACTTCTGCGGATGGTAGGCAGTTCAGCGAGTGGCTGCGCAGTACTGAGGACATTTGACCTGCAAGCATACACACGTCTTGCAGGTGTCAGTTTCAGTTTAAAATGCCAATGACGCTTGCAGCGCCTCGTTTCCCGCTTCACTCCGATGCCACCCCGAACTCGAGCGAATGTGGTGTTTTGCAAGAAGCAGCACGTGTCTTCAGCATGATTCTGATGACTTGCCAAAGAAGGTAGCTACCGTTGGCGAGACGTAGGTTCAGTGGCATAAAGCCGGGTGATGCAGACGCAGTGGACGGACGCTTTCTGGCGAGTACTTGCCTAGCAAGTGCAGCTACTGCACCACGTTGCGACTCCGACGAGAGAGGGTTAGAGCAGACTAATCGACCTTCTGCCTAAGGCAGTTGCCAAGCTGTATGTGTGAGTGTCCGGGCGTACTGTATTTTCGCACGCCGGAAGTGGCAGAGCACAAATCGGCAAAGATGCTGCAGACATTCGTCGCTGTGTGGAGCTCCCCATAGACTTTGAGGAATAGTGGTGGTAACAGAAGAAGCATCCACGTGTAGTCATCTTCCGATGTACTTTGCCAAACTTGAAAGCTCACTTTTCCTTGGCCGATACTGGTCGCCAAGCAGGCTTTGCAAATCTGATGCATCCCTCAGTCTCTCATGTGAGTCTGCCAAGGCAGCTCGGAATTAAAAAGGCGAGGCGAACCTCCACACTTCCCACACTCAGCTAGCTGCGAGCCAATCATGTGTGAACATGCTGTTAGACTTGCCTGGGCGAGTTGTAACAACAAGCAAGCACGACAATGCTAACCTCTCACAACGGCCAAAGTCAAACGAAGACCGATGGCATAGGTCATCGAAGTGAAGATGGTGGTGGTGGTGGTGGTGGTGGTGTTGGTGGTGGTGGTGGTGGTGGTTCTGCTGCTGCTGCTGCTGCCGCTGCAGATACTGGTGCTGGTGATGGTGGTATGGGTCACTGCGGCTACTGATGACGACGAGCGTGTTGTCCGTCACGGTTCTCTTTATTCTCACACCGGGCAAAGTTCTAATTCTATTGCTGGCAGCCATTGTCAGGAATTCGACCAACAAAGCGTCAGCTTCTTCTTTCACGTACTTATCGTGGACATTTTCACTATCCCCTTCACCAGTATCAGGTTGCAGTGGTGAGTGGCCGCAGGCACACTCATCTTCGCAATCTCCATCAAGTGGGTCAGCATCCTCATGGACTCATACTTCCACTCATGACTCTTGCAGCATGCAGTGCTGACTGGAATACTAGTAACTACTGCAAATCGAGTTCTTGGTAGTTTATGATGCTGTTAGTGATATGAAGTAGAGAGTTTTGCTGGATCCAAATATGAGCATGGTAAACAAAGCTCAGCAGAATCATGATGATAAGATGCCCCATGCAGGCAATCATAGTGCTGATCCGTCGTAAGAAAGAATGATCAGGATACCACACATGCACACGACTGGTGACTCTGAGTATAGACGAGAACGATGTCCAAAGACTGCCAGGCTGTACTGATGCGCTTCCGAGCTGCGCTTCTCGCAAGAGCTCTGGAGCTTGGACTTCCGAAGCGGCCAAAGGGCAAGGAAGGCCAGCTGAGAGTGGAACACTTTTTCAGGCCCTAGGGTCCCCTACTCAGAATGTCAGGAGAGGTAGAGGGCCACGGTAGGTGACCTATGGCCTTAGCAGCCCAATAGCTGATCGATCTGAGCTGGCACTGGCAGTTGCCGACATCGTGGCGGAGTCCATGTTGCGCATCTTGGATCTCGATCGATCTTTAAGGCCAGCAATCCAACCACATGTCGCATCTGTGCTTTCGCTGGCGGGTGTTTCGTGTCCAAATGCTACTTGCACCCAATTTTGTTCAGCAGTTTGTCCTGGTGCAGGCTGACTCGACACGAGTTTTGCCTCGCAGCCGTCGTGCAAAAGCTCGCACCCCCAGCAGAGGCAGACAGTTTTTGGCATGTCAGTCGGCGCAAAAGTGAATGCAGAGACATACCGTTATGTCGGTGGCAGGCCCCTCACATCTTTGAGATGCTGTGCCATGGGGAGCCAGGCAGGTCACCCAACCAGGGTTCCAAACCTCTTGGCTTGGAATGATTGAAGAGCTTTCGCACAGGTCTTTGCACCCAGTTTCATACGTCTGCAAATGCCGTGGCCAGAGCCCTAAAACCCTCATGTTCGAGTTCCTTCGTCATGTCGGTAGATTGAGGTCAAGCTGGACGGATTAAAGTGGGGCCGCCACGTCAACTGAAGCGAGCATCTGCAGGGCTGAGAAGATAGGAACGAGGAAAGCGAGAGGCGCAGACAGACACAGACCATAAACAAACGCGTGGAAGGATTGGGCCGGGGAACACATGCGGGGCGTAAACTTGATGGAACGTAGAAGATCGAAGGAAGCAAGGAAGGAAGGGAGGGTTGTTGCAGGCGGCCCAACAGGCCCAGAAAGTAAGGGGAAACATGAATGCCCTGTCGTGAGCGGTGTGACAGGCGGTCACCTTGCACAGCCTTGGACTGCAACTAACAAAGACTTTCCGCTTTTTCGTTAGCGCCAGGTGGCTGTACTTGATTGCTGCTCGCCCAGACGATATACCTGCCGAGACAGCAGGACCTCCGATCAAACTGTCTTGCCTCATGTTCTCAAAGATCGGTACACTTTGGAAGGCGAGAAGGCGACAGCGAAAGTCGGCATCAAGCACGAGAAAGGACGAGCAGAGAAAGACAGCAGCTAGGTGGCAAACATTGGCAAACAAGTCCCGCCTGGCTTTCTTGTTCCAGATGTGTGCATCCATGAGGCGATCGTATCCATCGCCTTCGCCGGGTGTGGACCGAGACTCCGGCTGCTCCAAAGCAGCACTCAGCGTTTCCCTCGAGTGACGGTGCCTGTGCATGCCCGGCATACGACACAACGGTTTGATGCAGAACATTGACGGTCGGGCTACATCCTCCTGACCACAAGCTGGCATCGCATCAATGCCGGGAATGCAGGCATTTGAGGGCTGACGTGCAACAGAGTCCCCATCAAGCTACCTAGCTTGATACGGCTTATCACAGCAAGGACTCCGAACAGAAGCAGACACAGAACAACATGCTCCACTTGCCAGTCTATCCAGTCTTCTGGAATGTCGGAACGGCTCTGACAGCAATCATGTACAGGTTTTGTGTCATGCCTAGGCATATCTTCAAATCATCGCATGCAGCCAGCGGCTGTCGTATATCAGGTTTTCAAGCGGCTGCGCGAGGAGCAAGAGCGCAAGGTGGAGGAGCTTCAGAAGCACTCTTCCGATACACTGCTCAAGACAGCGAGGTCAAAGCCCTGTAGCAGGGATCAGAACGGCTGCTCAGCAGATCTTACACTAACCAGCAGAGACGCCGAACACGAAGGAGATGCTGAGTCATCAAACTCAAGCTGACAAAGATCCGCGACCTGACTCGCCACGGCCGGCTCACCAGATTTCACCTCTGCCTCTCTGCTCGCACTGCACGTGAGGTCTGCTGGGCCGGGGCCGGTGCACCGGCTGCTCTACGAGGATGCCATGCGCCGTGCCGCACGCCGCGAGGTGTACCTAGAAGAAATCCGAAGCTAGGGAAGCTAGGACGTGGGGCGCAAACAAGTTTGCTCGCCAGGCCGAGCCAGTTGTGGTCAAACCCGCTCGGAGCCACGATCCCGAGGACTGGAGACTCGAAGCTTGGCCATCTGTGTTCTCGCATGCGATGCTTTCTGCACAGTACATCGATCGACTCGCCAAGCCGACGCCGAAAGAAGAGGAAGAGCAGGAGGCACATATGGACAAACAGACAGCCTTTCGAAGCGCAGATCAGGTCAGTTTGCAGTCTGGGTCCTTTCGCACGGCCTCAGGTAGTTGCAAAGAAGAAACCGGTCAACATTGGCTGGGACCTCTATCAGGCAAGGTCGACAGTCGTATCTGTGGAAGTCGCGCCGCCCAAGATCGCATTATGCAGCTCGCGAATGAAAAGCGGGTCTGGCACGAAGTCCGGGAACGGCAAAGGCCCGCACCGCGTCGCGGGAGGAGACTATCTCGGGTCGAGTTTCGCCAGGCAAGAGAAGATGGACGAAGAGGTGCAGCTAGACTGCAAATCTTGGGACGATCTGCCCTTCTCAGTGTAAGAGGGATTAATCTGAGGAAGGGCTTTGAGCAAGCAGCAGCGCAGCTGCGAGACGAGGTTGCGAGGCCGGAAAGCACCTGCAAGTGGCTGAGATTGGCAGTATTTCCCTTCCAGTACTCTTCCGCTCTACCACGACCGCCCAGATCTTCAGGAAGTCTCGGATGACCATCGCTGTGCGGCGATGGAGAGAGATGCTTGCCCAGGCATCTTGAAATCCGAAGCACCCCCAGACCCAAGGAACTTGCCGTGCGAGTAACGGACAGGTTCTCCTGATCGCTGCTTTTGCTCCTGGGTTGAGGGTCGGGACCTCGTGCTCTTCAATCAGTCATACGCAGCATCCCGTAAGAGGCACATGCTGCAATCGCGGCTGGCAGGCTGTACAGTGCACAAGCGGGCACTTGTTTGCCATTTGTCTCGTGGTATGTGTTTTTGGCACGGAGCTCCAGAGGAAGATTCCTGTAAGTAGTCCTCTAAGGCGGAGAGTCACGGAGGTGCGCTCCCATGATCCAGCTGCAGTGATCAGTGGATGGGGGATCATGGGTTACCTATGCCACACACCTGCCATGGATCATATAAGATCATCGACATCCCTGTGCAGATGGCGTTTGGCAACTGCTCACCCTGGCTGCAGGAAGCTCCAAGGCGCAGAATCCATTCACTGGCATTGATGATGCGCGCAATGGTACGTTCGGCACCTGTCAAGTCACAGCCAGGTTCATCTTCGCTTGGCTGAAGATCACGATGGTCTCCTGTCTGTTGCAGGCAGGGATGGCTGGGGGAGGTACTTGTAGGGCGATGAACAGAAAGAGCTTGGAGGCTTGGAGGTGTTTGGTAGGCTTGTCACCTCGGAACGAGAAACCTGGCAGCGAGGGCACGCAACGGAGATAAAGTTGCTTCCGTAGGTCCCCTGAAAACTGGTGTATACCTGAGATGTTTCTGGACCGGTGGATGCTTGAGCCTCCATCAAGGGGGATATACAAGCGCGAGTGACCGCATTGTCTCTTTCCGTCTCTGTTGCAGGCGGCGCAAGCGTCAGTTGGAAGGACAAGGTCCGCATCACGATGACAGCCCGCCTGAAGCTCCTCGTGAAGTTCAAACAGGTCTCTGAGCTGAGGGGGTATTTCGGATTTTTTACTTCGAAGTGTGGGATGTCTTGGAGGTGGAGGAGCAATGGGGCAGCGGCCTCGAAGAACTGCTAGAGGAGAGAGCCTTCCTTTCGGCTTGTTCTCTCCCTTGCGCGCGTTTTCTGCTGCCTGCTGCATAGAGGACTTGAACCCCGACGTTCCTCGCTTCGGCCTGGAGAACTTGAAGTCTGGGGTGTGGCTCTTTGACACGTTCACCAGCTCCGGTTCAGGGGAATCGGTGCATATCGGTGCACTTGGCTTCTCGAGGCCCCATTCCATGGTGGCGGATTGCCTGCCGGGAAGCCCGATCGGACCTGAGAGCCTCACGAGACTTCATGGCCCAAATCATGGCCCTTCCGAGTCGGACAAGCAAGCCCCTCACCTGAGGGTGGTCACAGTTTGGGGGTTACGCAGCACTGGTCTCAGCTTTGTCTGTTGTGCCAGACCGACGGTTCTACTTCTGGTCAGCTGAGGTTTGCGCCCTTTGAAACTCCGGAGCCGAGAGTGGCACCGTTTGAGGCTCCGTTTGAGGCTCCCGTTCTTTGTGATCTCTTCTAGGTCCCTGAGTGGTACCCTTTTGCCCTTTTTGTTTTAGGGCCCCCTTATTAAAACCGAATAGTAGGAAAAGGGTACCCTTATTATAAAGAGGCTACTCAGGAACCAAGTCTTTCCCAGTCTGCGAGACCTCCGACCTGAACTTCACTGCAACAGCCTACTTCAGATTTCCAATCTGTTCTTACGGAACCCGTTGCTGTGTCAATGCACTTCACCAACATAACAATAACAATAATAAAAATAACAATAATAATAATGGCAGCAATAATGACAATAATGTTAATAATAATCATACATCATACCAATAATGTTAATAATAATAACAACAATAATAATAATGTTAATAAGAATAATAATAATGTTAATAAGAATAACAATAATAATAATGACAATAATGTTAATACTACAACTACTACTACTACTAATAATAATAATAATGACAATAATGTTAATAATAATCATAACAATAATAATTAATAATTAAAATTAATAATAATAATAATAGCAACAATAATGACAATAATGTTAATAATAATAGTAGCAATAATAATAACAATAATTAAAATACTACTACTACTACTACTACTGCTGCTGCTACTACTACTACTACTACTACTACTATTACTACTACTACTAATAATAATAATAATGACAATAATAATAATATTATTAATAATAATAATAATAAAAATAATCATAATAATAGCTGCTAAGCTCCTGGCAGGCGGCCGCGCCGGCCGCCGAGCCCCAGCGCCTCCGTTCCTCGGCTTCAGCGGTTTTGGCAGAGACGAGTGGTGAGGGTTTAGGGTTTAGGGTTTAGGGTTTAGGTGTGTCAGCAAAATTCCATCGAGGCGAGACGGGTGGAGAAAGAAAGGCGAAGGATTGCTTGAAGGCCCAAAGCGGCACTTCTCGGAGTGCTTCCACGGGAACGCCACCTCGAAGAGGCTCCTCAGCTGCTTGTGACCTCGGAGATCCTGGGTCCCCTAAATCGTCTGGGTCCCTTTTGTCTCGAGCCAGGACTGCCGGCGTACATGCCCCCCGCGCGACTTGAGCAAGAGGCTCCTCTGTCTCAGAGCGCACAAAAAGCAGCCAACCGCTCTGATTGGGCACGGCCGGTGTCTTTGATCTAGCTATGTCGCCAGATGCAAGACAGCTGATCGTGTCACCGTCGCCCTCAAGCTCGCCTGTAGAATATGCTTACCATACACTCCTCTGATCCCTTCAACGACCGGTTTCACGGCGACATCGTCGTACATGGAATTCGGGCCTCTCCCTTGTCCCGTAGCACTGCAGACGACCCCACCCAGCAGAACTGCCCAAAGCACCCCACTTGCGAAGCAAGATGCTGGCAGCGGCAGCGTAGCAGGCGCAGCGATGGCAGTGGAGGCTGCAGAGGACCTTTGACAGAGCCACCTTTTTGCACTCTTTCGGTGTCTATACCAGACCAGGCCCCAGGGGCCGGCAGAGTCCCCTGCAGAGCCCAGCCCCTGCTTAGCCTCAGAGGATGCCGGAAACTGCAGATATGGTGAAGCGTTGGAGGTTCATCTCCAGCTGGCTGCTCAAGAGATGTTCTCCTTCTTTTCTGGCGCATGCGCGAGCACTGCAAGACCGGCCACATGTCCAACTGAGGAGCTCAGACCCGAAGGTGAGACAGCACTCTGTCATCATCCTGGGTCGCCTGCTTAGATCATGGCAGGCTCATGGGGATCTGCAGGCTTGAAGCTGCTGTCGGACCTCTGTGATTCAGAGCCATTCACCTCTGGCGAAAGGTCATGTGGGCGAAAGGGCACACCCTTCGCATGCGGCCGTGGTGGTAAAGCGATTCCAGGCGCCCTAAGCAACATGAACAGTGGTGTGTACATGGCCGAAAACGCTGGAAGTACACGAGTCGTTTCGTGTTTCGGTGTATCTGCATATATGCAGAATATGCATAATTATGTGTAATGCACATGTTATTTTTCCTTTTGCATTATGTAATGATGTATATATATATATACAGAGTCACACACACACTGGTATTACTTGTGTGTGTATATGCATATGCACGGCTTGTAATCGCTTTCGTGTCCGGTCGCTCAGCATCCAGTGGAAAAGCACAGGACAGCGAGCCAGCGGTGTTTGCATCCACCGCTGTGGCACTCGCCCGGCTAGGTGCACCTGGTGCACCTCGGCTAAAATCTGCGGGTGGATCATCTGTGCTTGAAGTACGCACGTTGGGCAAGCTGGTGAAGAGGCAGCCGCGCTCGCCAAAGAACTTGGTGAGGAACGGTCCGAGCTCGAGCAGCAGGCGGGACACAGTGACACAGCTCTGCAAGAATCTTCGCTTCAAGTCCGGCGCCACAAGGTGGTTTGCGAAGCACTCGGCCGCATGCCGAACTGGCAAGCGGCAGTGGCCCACATGCCGGCCTTGATGGCACGGCTTCAGGACAAGCTGTCTGGTGGTGTTGTCCGCGTAGCAATGGGTACTGGGAGAAGTCAGTGAAATGCAGGATTCGGCTGTCAACACCCGGCGGGCAGCAGCAGAAGCGGTGTGTCGGCTCACCTTCATTGGTCCAAAGGAGGTGCCAGAAATCTCGCTGCCTCGGATCTCGATGCAGCTTCCGAGCGATAGATCGTGACACACTCGGCAACTGGTGGGCAGATGCTTGACCTGGTGGAGTAGCCTGCGCAACACGCGTGTAGGCCCTCGACGCCTGTCCTGGACTCCAACATCAGCTGGTTGGGTGCTTGAAAGACGGCGAGGCATGAAGGGTCTTCCACATCTGTGCTGGCTGCGGAAGCGACTACTTTGACCCGGACCGATGACTGAGCTACTGCTAGTGCTCCACTATGGCTTTGGCATACACTGACTTCGCAAGGATACCGTAAGATTTATGTGAGACTCACCTAGGCGCAGCAGCCTCTTCCGCAATGATAAAGGCGTGCATCTTTTTACACATGGCCCTGGCCTCTTAGCAATTCTTGTGCCGGCCATGGGCAATGCCTGCAGCTGCGACAGCTGCGAGACGGATGCCACAGTCTTCGCGCTCTCAGAGTTGAAAAGGAGGCCGAGGATTTCTAGGCATCGGTAGTTGTGCGCTTTGCGGTTTTTCGTAGCAGAGCCAAGAACACCTCCCTGACAGGTTGGAGGGCCAAACCAAAGTGGTGCAGCCGGATCCCAGGCCCTTTGCCACAAGACTCACCAGACACGTGGACCCCATTGCAGCTGCAGGATCGATCCAAAAGTACATGTCACATTTCTCGCTGCCGGGGCCCCAAACAGGCCTGAAGATGCAGGTTTGATTCATGGGGTCCCAGCGAATCTGAACAGAGCCCGCAGATCCAGGTGGACAAAGAAGATGGGGGAGCTGTTTCCTTCAGCCCGGTGAAATTCACACTGCTCCTTGCCATGCAGACGAGACTCGCAAGAATTGGCTGATGACCGATCCGAAGCGTCTGCAAAGGCGTGACGTGCGATTCCAGACTTCTTGCCTCATTGAAGGCACAAAGGCACCAGACATAGCGTCAGTGTGGGTCTGATCCTACTGTGGCAACGAGACAGGCTAGCTACGCCCCATCAGCAGTGTCATCATGATCACCATCACCATCAAGATCACATTTCTCTTCTTCAGGAGAAGTAACAGCAGCAACAGCCTGAGTTTAGCAAGTTTCAACAACCAATCGATCAGGAAGAGCCTCAAGCTTCAACACATTAAAGACGACTAACTCGTTGACACTACAACGCAGGCACAGCCCTGCAGCAATAGCGCACCGGAGAGAACCCTTGAAGCAAGAATGCACTGCTGATAAGTCGTACTGGTGGTCCCAGTCCTGCTGCTGGGACGCATCTACCACGTTCGCCAGTAGAAGTTTCTGGGGCAGACGGTTGGTTTGAGAGATACTGTGTTCAGAGGGTCACTCCACATGAAAAGGCGATGAATTCGACCATGGTACAAGAAGTGGTTCTGTATGGACGATTGTGATGTGGCGTTGGGTTTTCCGGGTTTCAAAGCAAGATTCGGAGATTCGAGTCTGTATTGGTGGAGTTTTGGCTGCAGTGGTGAACTCTTTTTTTGGCAGGTCTGTCGCACTAGTCCTCTTCCAGGTTCATGAACCCTCCCCCAACAGACACCAATCTAATGCTGACGAAGACCGAGGAAAGAATCAACAACTTCAATCTGTAATTTCGAATGTCCAACCGAGGCCTAAACCTACGCAGGCCTTGATCCCAGCCAAACGTACACGCAGTCGTGTACTCGTACTAGCACTAGGACTAGGCTCCATCACCCTTTTGCCCCGCTTTCTCTGTCGCTCAGGTCCGCATCAAGCTACCAAGGCATCCACTGGCCAGTGCATCTAT